CAGCGAAGGAGAGTGATTGTGGGGCAGTCTTGCTGCAGGGGAAGGGGGAGGCCACAACCAGGTCAGGGGTTCGAAAGTCATCAAAAAGGGGAAAGAAGGTTGCTCCGTTGCAAGGTGTCTAAGTTTAATTAGTCTATAATTGCAAAATATTAGATCTTGTGATTGTTTAATTGATCATATGATTGTTTAATTGGGCATACTATACAAGGGCTGAAGCAAGCTACCACGTAATTAGCCCCAAACTGTGCAATTAAATTCTTATTAATACCCCAAACAGCAGGGAACATTCAAGCCTTTAATTAGTGATTAAGGAGACAGACAGAGCTTGCAACTAAGTCAGCTCTGAAGAACAGTACAAGCATTCAGCCCAGTACGAGGGGGGACCTGTCTGGTCTGATTAGCACTAGATGACTGCTTCAGGGGAAGTAAGGAGTCACATATATCATGTAACCCTATCCTAGAGATGGGGACAGCCACTGTCCCAGCGAGGGGCTGCTAGGGAAAACCCAGCCAGATCTCCCAAGCTGGAGGAAATGCTGGGCTGCGGCAGGCTTTGAGTTCCTGCCTTCAGGGCCTTGCTGTGCTGCCTGACATGGGGCGCACACGCTTGGGGAGCCTCCACTTCTGACCTAGCGTTTCTTGGTTTGTCTCCTTGGCTGTGTCCTTCCTGGCCTGTGAACTCAACTTCTGCAGCAACATGGGGGCCAAATTCCTAACCTTCCCTTCTGACTCTTGGGTGGTGCAAAGGAGGGAGCTTGCTGACACTGAGCCATTCTAGCATCATCTATTTGATCCCTGGATTAGATGAGGTTCCTGCAATAGTGTACACCACCCAGGTGTACACCTGGTACCACCTTGAGGTCTCTTGAGGCCTCACTACCCTCACCATGCTCCCAGGGTAGAGGCCAGCCATGCTGTGCCCCTGCTGAGGGGCATGAAGTTGTCATTTGGAGGAGGACCTGCAGCCCATATTAGTTTTGTCCTCACTGCCTGCACTCTCCTAGCATGAACCCTGGCAGGGATCACACTCAAATGCCTTTTTGGCTCCCCATAAATCATTTCGCAGTGATGAGGGAACAGTTTGCTGACACCCAGACTATACGAGGAGCAACAACCCAGAAAGGGCAGCATCTCTTCCACAGCCAGAAGGAAAGATGCAGAGAAGTGAAAGGAAGTTGCCAGAGATTTCTCACCAAAGCTTAGCTCCTGAACTGGGATATGAGGTTTTGCCAGCAGGTTCCCAAGCTCCCACAGCTGGAGAAAAGTGGGCCCTTGCAGGCTGGTGAGAACATGCCAGCAAGGTGGTCAGAAGTGCCTCCAGGCAAGGGTGAACCAAGGGACCTAGGCAGCGAAACAGGGTCCTGTGATGCCACTTCTCTCTCTGCGTCCCTGGTGCAAAAAGGCCAGGCCAGTTATTCTCTCACCAGTTAAACTGGAGGCAGAGGGACCCACAGCAAGACTGGCAAATCATTTACGTGACCTTGCTCCTCCCCTGCTCTTCGCATCCCCTCTCAGTTCCTATCCCCTCTGTTTTCCAAGAGGATGCAAGTGGGATTTCCCCTCCCAAGGGCAGCTGAGCGGAAACCCTGGCCTCGCACTCTGGCAGTGCTAAGCCACGCACTCCCAGCCTGGGAAACCTGCCTTGGAGAGCAACATGAGGCATCATTTCCACATGTCCAGTTAGTGGGTTGCTGCTGAAACAGGGCAGCTTTCCAGCTGCTCCAGGGTGCTTGTCTGCAGGCACTTCCCAGGATGAGGAAACCCCAGGTTGTTAGCAAGAGATGGGCACCTGAAGGTAGAAGCTCACTGAGAAGTTCTCTTCCTGGCACCTTGGTACATCTTTGCCACATCTCTTCTGGTCTCCAGCAAAACCTGCAAGTGCAGCAGCATCATCAGTCAGTCTTGTCAGGGCACCAGCAATATTTGATGCTTTTTCTTCAAGTGTCACATCCTGGAGCCTAGCTGCGTTGTGAGAATTTGCCCTGAGAGTTTCTCTTTCTCACAGGCACTGAGAAAAAGTGAACTTTAAAGGCACAAACCCCAAAAGGTACCTACCACAATGCCAAAGATGTTATTCTTAGGCGTACCATGTGATTTTTACACTAATCTCATAACTCAGGGGAGCTTTGGAGGAGCTGAGGTTTGAGTATGTGGTGTTAGCAGTACCAAGGCTGGGAACAGGCATTCACTAACTTCTTTAAACCTCTAGAAAGGCTCTTTTGGGGTTGAGGTTTGCTCCAGGAAGAAGGCTGACCTGCTTTCCTCCCACACTGTACAAGGAGGTCTCCAGCCTCAGAGGCGAGGCTGGAAAGCTGAAGCAGGCGAGGGGCCGGGGCGCGAGGCAGCTGGCTGTTTGATCTGTGGCGGTTTGAAGCTCCCACCTTCCTCCTGGCGGTGCTGCCAGGGCTGACGCGGGGAACCGGGGGGGAGGGTGGCGGAGGAAATTTCACACAAACGACAAGCAGGCCCAGCAGTTAAATCTGGGGCTGACATGTTAATGAATTTCACAGTATGACTGGAAAAATCGCATTTCGCCAAAGGAAATCTTGTTCCCATTATCTTTTTGTGAGAGTGTTAAACAGGAACTGGCATTGCTTTTCCTTTTTATCTCGCACACGTGGAATTGAAGGAGGGGGGAGTGTCTTATTGGTTGCTGTGGCTAATAAAGAAAAATTGTGTGTGTGTGTGTGTGTGTGTGTGTGTGCGCGCATGTTTATGTGCGTGCGTGTATATATGCATGCGTGGTTTTGTGTGTGTGCATATGTGAGCATTGGCATGAATGTACATATTTGTGCATGTGTGCACGTTTTTCTGCATGCATGTATGTGCACGTGAGCATGTATGTGCATGTGCACATGTGTGTGGTGCACAGGAGCTCATGCGTACGTCTATGTGAGGGTGCGTGTGCACGTTTGTGTATGTGTATACGTGTGTGCACGCTCCTATGTTTGTGCATGCACGTGTCTGTTCTCTATATGGGGCTTTGCAAGTGTGAGGTATGCACAGCCTGAGTAGAGCCTTAAACAAAAAGAGTTTGGGGGCTCTGTTGCTGCCCAGCTCCCTGCTGACAGTCCAGCACCCCGACTGCCACTGTCACTGCTCTCCCTCCACATTGAGGCTGGCACCAAGCAGTGCAGACAGGGCTCTGCCTTCACAGCCCCCACAACCAGCACAAGGCGGGTGGTCTGCCGAAAGCACAGGCTGGGGTCTGTCATTGAAACAGGCTGCTGGGGAAGGAGGGGGCAGGAAACTACAAAGGCAGCAAGCGGCTTACTTCCCTCCTCGCTTCAACAACCAAATCCCAGCAAACCCAAATCCCAGCAAATCCAAACCACTACCCAGCATGGTTTGGTTGTGCTGCTGCAAGGGTTTGGGAGTGGGGAGGCTTTGAGCTGCTGTGTCATGGCAGGGCTAGGGGCTGTCAGGTGCCGCAGTCGCTAGGGATGCTGGCCCAGGGCTGGACCTCAGTTTTTGGAGGCCTCCAGTCCCATCCTGCTTCTACCACCCCCTCCCCAGTTGCAGTCACGTCTGCCAGTAGCCCTGGCAATGGGAGTGAGATGTGATGGAGCAGGGACTCAAATCCCCGAGGATGGCTGTGGCCAAAGCATCAGGAAACACTTCCATTGCTGCCCCTTGGCAAGAGGTGGACCAAAGCCTGAGTGGCCAGTGCAGCAAAGCATGGGGGAGCAGGTGGGCTGAAGCTGCAGGCATCAGTGGTCCCATCAGTGGTCCTTTTGATAGCAGCCCATCCAGGATGTGGCTCGGTGCCCCCCTCCATACCCCCTGGCAGGCCCAGCTACCTCTTCTGGGCAGGGTTGTGCAGTGGTGGCTGCCATCTGTTGGAGACAGCAGGGAGGAGGTGGCAGCAGGACAGCAGGTGCCCAGCTGGCGCTGCTGGAGTTTCCCCTCAGTATCTCGCTGAAGCCATCCGTTCTGCACTTGTTTCTGATTTATGGCAGAGTGGCCCCCCCCTACCTCCCAGGTGCCCCCTGGCCCCACTCCACACACATGCCTTTTCTTCTCTGCACTGACCTCCCCTGCACCCAGCCCTTTGGCGGGCTGCGGATATTGCACATCTGGACAGCACATTGGAGCCGGCTGCATGGTGCCTTCCCTGGCTCTGCTCTATTGCCACTAGGAATCTTGCAGCTGAACTGAGAGAGCCCATGGAGCAGCAGGCAGCCCTACCCCCTGCCCCACTGCAGCAGCACGAGGACCTAGGAAACCTCCATGTCCTGCTTTCAGGCTCCATCATTTTTGCCTGTTGGCTTGGCCCTACCTACCATCCTTTCCTCCCCATTTCCTCAAGGCATATTTTCTCCTCCCTCACAGTGAAAAGAGCCATCTACCACACAAAACTCCTGCCTGAAGCCCATTTACAGGTGCATGCTAAGGGCCAGCTCAGGGCCATGCCAGGCTTGGGGTCATTCATGTTGCCTGATACTCCTGTTCCAGATCATGCTTGTAAGCTTCCAGTGCAAGACACAGGGAGGGATCACACGAATGAAGTGGGGCAAGCACAGGGAGCATTGTCCAAGTGCCCAGGTTGAAGGCCCAGGTGGACTTTTTGGACTGAACTGCATGGGCTCTTCTCACTGATCCCTGGCCCAGGCACTGGCACCACCATCATTTGAAGCCTGTGCATCTCACGGGACTTCCTGCCTGGAGACTGGACTGCTCTCAGGCAGTGCTGACATAGTGAGTGTCTTGATGGGTAATCAACCCCATTGGATAAAAGTTGTAAAAGGCATTTCTGTGTGGATGGAAGGGGCTAAGCAGATGAGTCAGCACCTGCAGGGACACCTATCTTCCTGGCAGCAGTGCAGAGGGGCCCCAACACATGGCATGGCGAGTCCTAAGACATGGCCAGGGCAAGTGGTCTCCCTGCATGGCCCAGGACCTGTGCAGTGGGCTGGGAGCATCCTTCAGCAGTCAAGGCAATGGCACTTCAGCTGCTCCCCTGCCTTGCCCCTGCCTCACCCTCTCCCCTTCCCTTGCAGCCTGCAACTGCAACCTGCACGCCAGGCGCTGGAGCTCTACAAGCTCGCGGGCAGTAAGAGCGGAGGAGTTTGCCTCAACTGCCGGCATAATACCGCAGGACGGCACTGCCATTACTGCAAGGAGGGCTTCTACCGGGACCTGAGCAAGTCCATCACTGATCGCAAGGCCTGCAAAGGTAAGGTGGGGAGGTCTTCATGTGGATAGCACAAGTAACATAGTCTCTCTTAGTCTCCCTCCTCTTTCCTTGCATTCCCCCCCACCCAATCCCCCTACTCTACTCAGAGTACAGCTGCTCCTTGCAACAGCTGTGGGTCACCTTGAACCTTTCCAAACCCAACTTTTATCTGCCTCCCAGCGGGAGATAGCCAGGGAGAGCTCTTTTGAGCCCAGCATCTCTACAGGCTCCCAGAGCCCTGAAGGGTGATGTGAACAACCCAAGGGAAGCAGACCAAATGACAGGTTCCTGGGAGTGCCTTCCACAAAAGGAGACACTGCTAGGGCTGTCTTCTTGCCTTGCAAGGACAGGGAGGATCTGAATGTGACCACAGTGACCATGGTTTTGGTCTCTGGCAGTCAGTATTTGGAGAGCTGCTGGGCTGGGCAGGTGTTGGAAAAGGTGGGTCACTAAACTCGTTGGAAAACAGTCTCGCGAATCTCGGATCTAGACCCTCTCAGAAGTATTCAGGCTTCTTCACAAAATGATTTGCAATGGCTTTCTTTTTGTTGGAGGGCTGGAGTGTAGCTTACAGTGATTTCCATCTCCCTGTTGTGCTGTGATACAGGACCCCAGGGCAAGGGTTTTAAGCTG